CAAAGTCAACCCCTGACTGATTCTACTCGCCGAGTCAACCCGATGACTTGCCGAGTCCCTATGCTCATAATTTCCCTCAATCTGCGACCTAACTCGCTGAGTCACCCCGAGACTCATCGAGTCCAACAACTCTGAGTCCACTCGCACCCAACTCACCGAGTCATCCCTTGACTCACCGATTTTCGACTCAACTAGAAAATATTGGGACTCTTCGACAAGACACGCTGAGTCCAAGAACAGACTCGTCGAGTCTAAGGCTATTTTCAACCTACTTGCCGAGTTGTTCATCCAACTCGTCGAGTTCCAGCTCATCTTCAAGCAACTCGTCGAGTCCACCCATGTGACTCGCCGAGTACCACCGGTCTGAATCCATACAGAAGCATTCCAGGCCATGCAATTGATCCAAAACATAGATCTAGCCTCCTACAATCCATCCATCACGTAAAGTGGCAAACTTTACGTGAATCCAAAGAGATCTAGGCCTTATTCACTTTAGAGCTAGGGTTTGGGACATGATGGCTTCACTAAGCACTCAAACACAGGGACTTTAATGCTCTCTAGGCCTTCCCCATTCCAGATCTGAGGTAGCAACCTCAGATCTAACCTCCAAACTCTAAAACATACAAGATAAGCTCCCCATAAACCCAAAATGATGAATCCATATGAGTGATAGCCCAAGAACGAGATATTACCTCAAAAGAATGCCGCAACTGCAATGAAACTCGAATCCAAGCAAAGCCCTTTGATCCAAGCCTCTTCTCCTTCAAGATTTCTTCAACAAACACCTCCCCAAGCTCCAAATGCACTCCAATCTTCCACAATCATGCTTTCTAGGGTTTCTGGACTTCAAGGGGGATCAAAGAGGCTAGGGAGAGGATATAATGTTCTTTAAATAGGGCTCATTCCCCGAATTTAGGGTTTTCTCCACTCAGCACCTACTCACCGAGTCCATCTTTGGACTCGCCGAGTAGGCCACTTGACTTACGACCAAAGTCGTGACCCTACTCGTCTAGTCCATCCATGGACTCGCCGAGTTGCCCTTCAAAATTTACACTTTTAGTCCTTAAACTGTACTCTTTCTATTATGGGATGTTACATGTACGCGAATATACAAGCACAAGAAAATAGATAGAACACCAAAATATCCGTAAATTATTTTATTTCTTTTAGTTTTGCTCTTAGACCCATTTGATCTAAAGTTGGTAAGTTTTAGATTTGATGTCCACCTTGATCACCCCTAAATATATATTGGTCATATCTCGAATAAATATAGTTGATCAAGCTATATTTACCTTAGATATGACTACATAACTATCTAAGTTTAGTTGCTGATGTCCGACTCCTCTAAAGACGTTTTATTTCTTTCAATATTAGGACTCTATTGTTAATGTACTCACATGCATGTATACTTTTATAAAATACTTATATTTTTAAAGCATACTTTTAGTCTGAGCGTTTTAGTCCCATTGTATTGATAATTGTATATCTTGTATGGTTAGATATACTAGTTCACCATATAACAATGCTCTGATACCAATCTATCACACCATCGAACTAGGACAGCAGAAACATCCGGGGGAGGATGACGTCATTGTATTGTATCATCACAATTGAATATAAGTGGAAATAGCAACCAAATGACATAAATTAAGATTACAATCTTCATAAGTTTACATTTTTGTAATTGTTCAAATGTTACACAAAATCGACAAAATTGTAAATTTCATAATGCAGCAAAATATCCAAATCCGTAGCTCGAGTACCTGTTTACTGGTTCCCTGAGAATACAAGTCGGTTTAAAAAGCGTCAACATAGAATGTTGGTGAGTTCATAAGCAGTTCTGTACGAAAATATTTTGTATTTGTTTTGTTTGTTAAAAATGTTGAATACATCCAGAAAATCCAATATTTTTCATAAAAATGAAATGTTAGTTTGCTTCAAAAAAAAAAAACCATGAATATTTGTATTAACATTCCTTTAAATCATGTGAATGTAAGTTCCTAGAAAATCCCATATTTTCTAATTGTATGAAACTGTAGTTTTAAACCCCAAGACTGGATTAGTGTCAGTAGAGTACTGAAATGGTGTGTAGTTTTATAATATATAAAACCAGAAAAGTGTAAGATTTTCGTAAATCAAGATAGTATTGTTAATCCCTATGTGATTCGGTATAACCATGCTTGATGTGACAGTTATGCCTGTCTGACGTTCTTCTGGCATCGGTTGGGGTAAGATATTTTTCACCCTAGACTGGCCCCATCTAGTTATAGCGAATAGCTTAGGTGTGGGGGTGTCAATCCCTGTATAGATCTATACAAAATTATCTCGCTCTCCCTCCAGGAGACTCTGGTTATAACTACAGTACTTAGAGTGTACACTGAGTAGGTGCGGTAAAGATAGTGTCTTACTAGAGCTTTAATAGATTTACACCGATTTCAAATCTCTTTATTGTATAATGAAATAGCTTTACTAGTGTAAATTTGTGATAGATGTTTTATGACACACATTTTTTAGATTCTGATAACATGCTAGTTATGACACATGGTTTACAGATTTCATGACACACAACTTATCACTGACGCAAGATGAGTTTTATGACTGACACTTTATGATATGCAAGTTTTTTTTTCTATCACAAAGTTGTTTGTATATGATTTCGGTTATACTGTTTACCAACAAAATCGTTTTTAGTAAAATATAAATGCGTTTTCACCGGTTTGAAAGTTTTGTACACAAAATATTTTATTTTGGTTGACTCTAAAAAGTATCGAACTTTTTTTTTTCTTTTATACCACAAATAACACCCTAAATATTTTATTCAAGTATTTGTGTAGGTCTTAAAAGGAGGGCATGCATTTATCCAAGAGTTTAACATACATGGTATTTTACATGCATGATTGTGAAAATTTTGAGTGCACAACCCATGTCTACGAATTTTTATGTAACAAATCTGTTAATACAGACATACATCATGATTTTATTTAGCTAAAACGTAATGTTAGCCTTTTTGCACAAGAATTTGTTTCATATGTAAAACATATTCATAATGATTGTAATTATCCACTAGACAACTTAATCTAGCATATGATAAGCTTGTAAATCACTATTTTTGGATGTTTTAGCATGAGATACTCTACATTCTAAGCACAAATCATTACATAAACATGTAGGTGCTTGTAAGTATCCAAAGGTTAAATGAAACTTGACTTCTATCCCCCCAATAGTATGAAAAAAACACGAAAATAGTAGGGTATGAAGCTCACCTTGATTTCATGTGTTAGTAAGAAGAAGAAAGAAGTTGTTGAGCCTAGCTTTGTGTAACTTGAAGGTCACTCAAAAAAGGGTGATGTTATAAGAATCATACACACAAAAATGGGTGTGTAAATGGAATGATCTTAACGCTAACATGTATATTAGTTCTAGAGTTTAGAGGAAATTACCAAGCTTATGAGTTTTGAAGAAGAATACTTGAAGATGGCACACATACGAATTTGTGAGAGAGGAATGGGTGGAAGTTCTTGAGAATAATTTGGAAGAAAGTGTTTGGTGTGTGTATGTGTGTGTTGTGGTACAAGCTTCACATGGCTAAGCAAAGTCCTAAATGGATTAAGGTACTCAAAAGCTCTAATTGTATGCACATATGATTCACATGGTTTCCAAAACTTGGTTTCCAAAACTTGAGGGCAAGTTTTTGAAACTTTCCAAAACTTTCTAGATCAAATTACAAATAATTTAATTAAGCAATTGATTAGTGATTATCTAAATTTGACCTAATTCAATTTCATGGCAAAATAAATTCAATCAAATAATTCAAATAATTTAATGTTTTGATATAAGGCAATAATTATCTAATTAATTGACAATTATATTCTGTTTGGATAAGGATAATCATAACAATTTAATAAAAATCGGATTTTATTAATCAAAAACATTTTGGATAACTATCCCAATCCAAAACAGGCCAAAATCCCGAAAGATCTGGTCTTAAACTCTCCGACTCGTCAGGTCACTATTTGGACTCGTCGAGTTCATCAGGTGACTCGGTGAGTTTAGCTGTTAGAGGGCATAAATTTCAACTTTTCAAGAAATGAATGATCAAACAAGGTGTCAAATACAATAGATATACAACCTAGGCTCTGATACCACTGATGGGTTTTAAGCATTACATCAGTCCTATGGTGCACATGCAAACCCAAAAGTTATAGATCTAGGTTTCTCTAACTGTACATGCAAATCATCCAAAGCTTGTAAACCCTAATCTAGCATACAACAAAAAAGTAAAATCAACATAAATTGACTAGTAAGAATGTTGCCTTGATTGTTGCTTGAAGATCTTGAGCTTTTGAGTATCTTAGCACCTCAAACGTTGTGCCTCTAAAAGATAACAAACACCAAAGCAAGTTGGAGAATAATAGAGAGAGAGAGAGAGAGAGAGAGAGAGAGAAAGGTAATTTTGGCTCTTGGAATTCTTCTTAGGGTTGTGGTAGTTGAGAAATGCAAGCCAAGGGGTTCCTTATATAGTTGAGTTGTTAGGGTTTCAGTCAAAACCCTAATTGGATTGCTTAGGCCTTAAGCCGTCTAGGAATCCTTCCAGAAGCAAGGCCATGGATGAATTCAATGTGGGCTTCCCCCATTGATTTCGTCCATCCCCTTCTAAGGGATCCATAGGCCAAAATTCAATTATCTTAGAATTGCAACTCTAGTCCCCAAGGTTCAATTAATATCTTTTGACCACAAAATTAGTTCTTGACCAATATTAATTAACCAATATGATTTCTCCTTTAATATATTATTCATATATTAATAAATCATAATAACCTCTTTCTCTATTATTCATCTAGTCAAGTTGCTCTGATTAAGGCAACCCAAAAGGACCACGCTACAACCGGGTCAAGTACAAACCAAATATATTTATGGACTTAGACACTAATCCAACAATCT